CAGGCTGGTCTCAAACTCCTGACCTCAGGTGATCCACCCACCTCAGCCTCCGAAAATGCTGGGATTACAGGCATGAGCCACCTTGCCTAGCCAAGAACCCCTGTTTTATTTGGGCTGGCAATGTGCCGAGATAACAGACCACATGTTTTCAGCCTCCTTTACAGTTAATGTGGCCCATGTGACACAGTCCTATGGAATTTCCAGAAGTGTTCAGATGAAACGTGGCCCAGGTGACTGGAGCTCCAGCAGCCACGTTGGGCCATGAGGTGTTCTTGAGGATGTAGCCAGGATTGAAAATGGCAGTGCAGGCCGGGCGCGGTGGCTCACGCCTGTAATCCCCGCACTTCGGGAGGCCGAGGCGGGCGGATCACAAGGTCAGGAAATCGAGAGACCATCCTGGCTAACATGGTGAAACCCCTTCTCTACTAAAAATACAAAAACTTAGCCGGGCTTGGTGGCAGGTGCCTGTAGTCACAGCTACTCAGGGGAGGCTGAGGCAGGAGAATGGCGTGAACCGGGGAGGCGGAGCTTGCAGTGAGCTGAGATCGCTCCACTGCACTCCAGCCTGGGTGACAGGGCAAGACTCCATCTCAAAAAAAAAAAAAAAAAGAAAATGGCAGTGCAGAAAGATAGGAGCCTAAGTTCTGTATAACACTGAAAGCCATATCAGCCATGATCTACCCACCTCCAGGCTTTTTTTTTTTTTTTTTTTTTTAATGTGTTGGTAAAATAAACTATCTTGTTAAGCCACAGTAGTAGGGCTCTGTTAATACCAGCCAAACCTGATCCATGGGGTCGGAATCTTACCCCTCTTGATCCCAGTGACTCAGAGAAGTGGCAGCCAGCATGGGTGATAGAAAGTGTTTCTTTATTTGAATGTCATTCCACCTGCACTGAAGCTCAAACCCAGCAGCAGCATAAGGGGTCAGGACCAAAATAAATGTTACCAAATTAGACAATGAACAGCGAGGACACACTCAGACAGAACTTACTAATGGGGTGTAGACAACACCAAGCTATCCTAACAGCACACAGCACAGGCCCTCGGAGGCCTGCCTGTCAGAGCTCTGCGGAAGGCTCCCTTGTTCCCTGTTCAGGAAACTCCAGTCCCACCCAAAGGTTAGCCATGAGCCAGGCAGGGGCCTGCAGAAGTTTCTGGTGCTGGGAAGATCCCAGCTTCTCCAAAGGCAGGATTTCCCTTTCTCAGTTCACACTGGAAGCTGGAGAAGGGTTATTCCCCGCATGCCCAAGCAGGACGCTCAAAAGGCCAGGGACTCTCCCCACAGCCTTATCTAAAAGTTCTCATCATCTTGGCTATCGCAGGCCTTGAAAAGGATCTTGATTCTTTGGTCCTCACCCCCTCAGGAAAGTTTTCCTCCATGGGTACCTGTCCTCAAAGCCAAAAATTTTCATAGCCCCAGTTCCCAGAAGGACTCAACTGACCAGCACTGTGGGCCAGGGACTGAACCACCCCTAGGCTGTGGCTGCCGTGGCCTCTCCTGAGTCCCCAGATCAGGCAGAGAAAATCGGGCAGTGGTAGACCCCTGATCCGGTCACAGTTAGGGGGGGTACTTCTCTTGGGAGCTGAAGCCAGAAGGCTCTAGGTTGGAGCCCAAAAAGGCCCTCCTGGGGTCAGAAACAGGCACTGATCTCCTCTGCTTATCTCCTCCTGAAGGCTAAGGCCAGATTGCCTGACGATAGCAGAGGCAAACCACAAAGCCCCCTTCCCATGATGAGCCATCAGGGCCTCACCTGGGACCCCCCACAGGAGCACCTGCCACCCACCCCATCCACACCTCTGCAGAACCCAGGGCCCCGGTCTATGGTTTGGTCCCCACTCTGACTTCTACCCCTTGCCTGTGTCACCCTGGGGTTCCCGCAGACTTCAGCCCACACAACTCTGCCTTCCTGACCCCAGACTCCCTGGTGCATCTCCCCCTGGCTCTGCCAAGATGGCAGCTGGCCAGGTGCGGTGGCATGGGAATGTTGCCAGGCTACCCCACCAGGGAACTGGCCTCCCTCTTCTCCATTCAGCGCTGACCCCCTCCTGAGTCAGCTGGACCCCCTCCGCCCTCTGAAGTGGCTTCCCTCACTCCAGGCCTCCCCAAAAGGATGTGGCCTTGGCTGCCTGTGCCCTGGGCCTCCAGCCTCTGAGGGGTCAGTTCTAACCCCCTCAGCAGGGCACAGGTTTGCTGGGTGTCCTTGGGGAACAAGGTGTAGCAAGGACACCTGGTAGCAGGCATCCTTGAGGGAATAAGCTCTCCCCTCACCCAGTGCCCAGACAGAAACACCCTCCTCACTGCCCCACATCCTGACTCCTTCATCCTCCTCTCCCTCTTCTGCATCCCATTCTTGCCCCCTAACCCACATCTCCATTTACCTCTTCCCTGCTCCTGAGTCCTTTTTCCGCCTTTCCGTCCATTTCCCCTCCCCGACCCCAAGCTCTCCCGCAGCCTCTCAGCTGGTCTCTCATCTCTCTGCCTCTGCCCCTGTCTCTCTCGATCTCTTCTCCTCGAGCTATCTCTCTCTGTGCCTCTCCGTCCCCCTCGCTCCTTCTCCAATCGTCTCTCATCTCCCTGTCTCTGCACCCCTCCTCTCCGCACCCCAGTGTCTTCCCCCATTCCCAGTTGCTTGCTCGGCCCCTCCCCTCACTCTCTCCTAGCTCTGCTCTTCCCCTCCAATGCCGGGCTTTGGTTTGCATATTTGAGGAACTCCCTCCTACCCCCACTCCCTCCCACGGGGCTCCCACACCCTCCCGCATTTAACCCGGACCCTCTGTCCCGCAGCACCCCTATCCCAGGCCGACTGGACTCCCCAGGAAGGCTCTGCGGGGGAAGGGGAGCCCAGCGCTGGGACCAGAGCACTGCGGGGAGGCGTTTGCCCAGGAGGAGTAAGTGGAGGAGTGGGGTTGGGACTTGGTAAGTTACACGTGGCAGGAACCCCCCAGGCCCCAGCATCTGATTCCAGCTGGGTCCAGAGTGGGGAGGCAGGGGACTTCTAGGGTCTTTCTTGGAAACCCTCTCAGGTCCAAGTCTTGTGGAAATGAACACAAGGTTGGCAAACACATGGCGCTCAAGCGACCTTCTCCCCTCCTCCGAGGTCCAAGGCAGCTTCCCCCAGCATCCTGCAGGGCACTGCCCCTTCCCTGCGGGTCCAGGCCACGAGGAGGGGGCGCTGGACGAAGCTGGTCTGCACCAGCAACTAGTGCTGAGGGGAGCTGTCCAGGCCCCAGGGCAGGGAGGCTCTCCGGGCGAGATGGCTCTGCTGCCAGACCCATAGGGGAATGAGGGGTGTTCAAAACATACCAGGAGTCTCCCTCACCTGCTCCCTGCCAAGGGGAAGGGAGTCGCTCCCACAGTGGGAGAAGGGGGGGAGAAACTTCTCACCTGCCCCCCTAACACACACACACTCTCACACGCGCACACACGCACACACATTTCACTCATACACATACACTCAAGCCTCGGCTCCAAGCACTGCCCACAGGTGCAGACCCTGGGCATATCGCAAGGCGAGAGGTGGGCCAGGAGGACAAAAAGGCTGGGACAGGATAACAAGGCCTAGGAGAGGGGACGGGGTACCCTGTTCAGAGATGACCTGCAAGTTCAAGTTATGCAGAAAAGTATCAAAGAGACAAGACAGTCTCTGCCCTTGGTAGATGCCTGGGGTGTGGGGGGCATGAGAAGGGGCAGAAGGGGTAATGCATCCCCCAACTCCCCACCTCTGGGGTTCCCTCCATACCCCCCAACCCTGACAACAGGGCCAAGAAGTCTGTGCTGTACAAAACAGGCCAGGGTCAAGGGTCCAGTCATTGGTGAGACATCCCAGCAGAGAGGAGGCCTGGGCAAAACAGGCCAAGGTCAAGGGCTCAGTCGTCGGTGAGATGTTCCAGCAGAAAGGAAGAGGAGGCCAGGCCAGCCCGGGCTGAGCAGCTTCTAAGTTCCAACTGCCGAGGCCACTTGCCCCCTCCAGCTGCCTCCAGAGCCTGAAGGTCTTTTCTGACTCTGGGCTGATCAGGGAACCGGTCTGCAGCTGACAGCAAGGCCCTGTGCCGTCCCTCGGTGCAGCTCTCCCTCTTCGTGAGCTGGAAGCAGGCTGGAATGGGGCAGAGGAGGTCCCAGGGGAGACTGGTGGCACCTGGAGCTTTGTGGCAGATGTGGTGGAACCAACATCAGCCAAAAAAAAAAAAAAAAAAGTAGGAAAGAGTCCAGCCCACCCTGGGGCAGTATCTAGAACAAATTTCTTGAGGAGGCAGGGACCAGAAGAGGTGTGGATGCAGCCAGGCAGCAGCCCTCCAGACTGAGGGGGCCTGGGGAGCTGGAACTATAGCTCTGCTCTCCCTGGGGATCTGCAGGGACCTCCAGGCCAGTCTAGAGAGGAGAGGAGAAGCCCAAGGGCCTGGGTGGATGCAGGCTCCCTTAGGTCAAATTTAGGGAGGAGCAAGAATTAGACCCTCCCAAGGTCTGGAGGGCCTCTCCTCTCCCCCAGGCCACATCCAGGCTTTCCTCTCCTCAAAGCCTGGAGCTCGCAGGGTAGTCGGTGAGAAGTGAGTCTGAGATCAGGGCCTTCCCTCAGAGCTTGAATGGAGTGACGAGAGGGCAGGAGGCAGGACAAGCTGAGGTCAGGCCAATTCCTGGACTGTGATCCTGGCCTTTCAGGGTCCCTGTGAGTGAGCCACGGGGCAGGGAAGGACTCCCCATCCAGAGACATCACCCCCGGGCCGCAACACGGAGCTTACTGTAGAGCCCACAAAATCTAAGAGAGAGAGAGAGAGGGAGAGAGAATTAGAGAAATCAGAGGCTGCCTGGGCATTCGGGCTTTCCTTACACATTCCCCAGGGCAAAAGTGAGCAGAGGGGCCGGGCGCAGCGGTTCACGCCTGTAATCCCAGCACTTTGGGAGGCTGAGGTGGGTGGATCACTTGAGGTCAGGAGTTCAAGACCAGCCTGATCAACACGGCAAAACCCTGTCTCTACCAAAAATAGAAAAAATTAGCCGGGCATAGTGGTGCATGCCTGTAATTCCAGCTACTAGGGAGGCTGAGGCAGGAGAATCGCTTGAACCCAGGAGGCAGAGATTGCAGTGAGCCAAAATTGCACCACTGCACTCCAGCTTGGGCAGAAAGTGTGAAACTCCATCTCAAAAACAAACAAACAAACAAACTAAAAAATGTCAGAGGGGCCAACTGTACAAGGGCTGAAATCCCAGCCTCACCTGACCAGCAGGATGGCCATGAGCAAGCCATTTAATGTCTCTGAGCCCCGATTTTCTCATCTGCAAAATAAGGATCATAGCTCACAGGGTAATTCCAACGGGTCAAAAAGAGACAAATAATGACAGCCAAGGACTTGGCAGTGTTGGGTCATAGAATATGCTGGAAATGGAAGCTATTTATTTATTTTTTCTTTGGTTCCAGAGGTCTTCTTTTAAAAAAAAATTATATATTTCCTTTTAATAGAAACTGGGTTTTGTTACATCGCCCAGGCTGGGCTTGAACTTGTGGGCTCAAGCGATCCTCCTGCCTCAGCCTGTTGCTGGGACCACAGGTACGCGCCATGGCTCTTGGCTCGGAGGTCTTTGGGTTAAAACTAAAGTGGGAGGCTCACTCATCTTGAACTTCCAGTGAGGGATGGAGGTTCCCTGGACACTGAAGGGAGGAAAACTGGGGCTCCTTTACATCGATTTTTAACACTAAGTTGTTAAGGGGCTTTGGGAAGGGAGGAGAGGGACACTGAGGGGGCCCACTTCACGTCAGTCACATCCTCACACCCCTTCCTGATAAAGGCCAGATCTGTCTTAGTCTTGCACTTCTAGAAGCTGCCGCCAGAGGGCAGGCCTTGACTTCACACCAAGACCACAGAAATCCCGGGGTCTGAGGGACTAAGTCAGTTACTTAGAACCTGCCTCTGAGTACAGGTTAGCAGGTCAGCTTCCCAGGAGAGCTCCCAAAGCCATGCAGGAAATCTCTGGCCTCACCAGGTTGAGACAGACAGCGTGACAAGGGGGAGAAGCTTGGGCTTTGGACTTGGACTTGGGTTCAGATTCTGCCTTCACCACTTAAGTGACTTTGGGCAAGTTACTGGAGCTCTGGAGTTCTCTAAATGTGGCCTTTTTTCTTTATTGTATTTTAATGCCACTTGATGTATATGAAAGTTTATATGCAATACACTAATTATAAAGCATACAATGTGCCAGGTAAGGTGGCTCACACCTGTAATCTCAGCACTTTGGGAGGCCAAGGCGGAAGGATTGCTTGAAGCCAGGAGTTCAAGACCAGCCTGGGCAACATGGGGAAACCTCGTCTCTACAAAAAATACAAAAATTAGTCAGGCGTGATGGTGCATGCCTGTAGTCCCAGC